TAAAGTGATCAATTAATTTGGGTTAATTGGGTATTAAAATAAGTCATGGGGTTATATGTGCAGATACCAGATTGTAATTGTAATTTATTGAGGGGGCAAATTATAAATGTACAACATCTATAAATAAGGGATTATGGTCCCTAACCTAGGGTTACATTCTCTAATTCTCTACACCCCCATCTAGTAAGAGAAATTCGGATTTAGAGGAACCCTAAGGTTAGAAGATTAAAACCCATCTCAAGTTCAAGCAATGGATTCAGGTATAAGCTTCCGCTCCTTTATGATTCTTGTTAATCTCTTCGAATTAATCATGGCTATATGGTTTTAGATCTCAAGTTTTATGTAGATCTAACAATATAAACCAAAGATAACGAAACAATTTGTGCGAGCACAGAAATAATACTTTTGATAAATGAAATGAAATGATTTCAGCAATTCAAAATGTTAATTAATTATATGAACGATTAGCAATGCATATATATCTTTACAATCTTGTTAAACCTACAAATCTTGTAGATCTAAGGATCTTTCTTTTATTTTTCTTGGAAAACACTATTATTTTTATTTAATTCCATGAGATATTACCTTTAAAAGTTTGGGGTGACAAAGGATCTCCAACATAGTATCTAGCTCCACTTCCGTAGACCATAGATATCATTTGGTAAAGAGTTAGGAGAGAAGGGTTGAGGAACAGGATTAAGAAGGTTAAGTACCCTAAAGTATGTTCTTTTATAAAATTTTATTTATTATTTTTAGACAGAGTAACTCTTAATCCTCTTCTTTAAGCGGACTTGTTATCCCCTCTAAATGAGGGGTTAACAAACTTTATCCCTTGTAATGAGTTTGCTAGTCCTCTGACCTAATTAGTCCTTTTGGATGGTTAAGCTGGGATTAAACTTTTTTTTTTTTGGTAAATGAACTGAACTTTATTCATTTCCAATATGGACATTGTGTAACATATCAAAAACCAGACATTCCCTGGTAATCAAAACTCAAAAGAACCAACTTACAAAATGAGATTCCTCATATGAACATTTGTACTCTCATGTAATACTTTGGTATATATTGACAGTTTGATATTATGAAGAACTTGCAGCGAGCTCCTCATTTTGTTCTGGAAAATCCTTAAGTTGCGTTCCTGCTAGATCATATAAGTTGTGTCAGCAAGCGCGAGCCTCTTTAACTTCTTCTTGGAACCCTTTCCTTTTAAGTTGTTTGAATACCAACCAATGATCATGTTCCAATCACAAGACCTCCATTTAAAATTCAACCAGTCCATAACTCCATTCCAGATTTCCACCGAAAACTGACAATCAAAAAACAGATGGCTAATTGTTTCTAGCTGATAACCAGAACACAGAACACAGCAGTTTTGATTAGGATTTAAAATCCCCAGTCTGCATAGCCTATCCTTGGTAAGAAGTCTTGAATTGCAAGCTAGCCAGATAGTAAATGAGTGTTTAGGATAGTTAAAATTATCCCAAACAGTCTCATACCAGCGCACTGGAGTTACAGCAGAATGCAGTTTGCTGTAAACTGCAGATTGCTGGATTTTATTATTGCAACAGCAGTCATCAATTGCATTTTTCAGAGATGCAAAGCTTCCAAACTTATTCAACAGCATGTCCCTTACCCTGAGGAGTTGTTTCCACATCCAAGAGTCATTCACTCTACTTTTAGCCTCCCAAAGATTACAGGTTTGCAGATAGTTCTCATGGATCCATTTAACCCACAAAATATCTTTTTTAAGATGAATCATCCATAATAATTTTGCAGCAGCAGCTTGATTCCAATGTTTTGCAGAAAATAGGCCTAAACCACCCTGTCTTTTCTCCTGACAGATTGTATTCCATGCAACTAAATGAATCTTTTTACCCCATAGAAAGTCAGAGCATAGCTTATCAATCCTCTCTAATACTTTGATTGGCAAGACATAATTGCTAATCCAAAAAATTTGGATACCAAGAATGACTGATTTGATAAGTTGAAGTCTACCAGCATACGACAGTTTTCTGTTCTGCTGCCAAAACTGAAATTTGTCCTGAATTTTTCCAATCAATGAAGAACAATCAATATAAGATAACCTCTTTGTACTCAATGGTAAACCAAGATACTTCATAGGCAGAACACCCTCTGAAAAGTTCAAATAGCTGCAAATTTGAGCCTTTATGCCCTCCTCAATCCCAGATAGATAAACAGAGCATTTACTTAGGTTTGCATCCAGACCAGAAACCAGACTGAAATTTTGAAAGCACTGATAGATTTTGGCCACTGAGTATAAATCAGCTTTGCTAAATAGAAGCAAATCATCCGCAAATATCAGATGAGTAATATTCAGTTTTGAACACTTCGGATGAAATTTAAACTGTCTGTCCTCCTTCAAAGCACTTAGACTCCTTGACAAATACTCCATACCAATGACAAATAGGTAAGGGGAGAGGGGATCCCCTTGCCTTAAACCCCTAGCCCCCTGAAAATAGCCATGCAATCCTCCATTAATTGCTATTGAGAATTTTGGTGTAGTTATACACTCCATGATCCAATTGATCATAATGCTAGGAAATCCCAGGCCAGTAAGCATAGCCTTGATAAACTCCCAACTAATTGTATCAAAAGCCTTTTTCAAGTCAATGTTTAATATAGCTCTTGGGGAATTATGCTTCCTCCCATAGTGTTTGATTAGATCATGAGCTAACAAAAAGTTGCTGGAAATAAGTCTCCCCTTCACAAAAGCACTTTGTGCTTCATTAACAAGATACCCCAGGACTTTTTTGACCCTGTTTGCAATTATCTTTGTGATAATTTTATATGTAATATTACAGCATGAGATGGGCCTAAAATCAGATGTAGAGCTGGGATTCTGAATCTTTGGAACCAATGTAATAGCTGTTGTGTTAAGAGTGCCTAACAGCTTACCTGAGTGGAAAAACTCCTCAATAGCAAGGAATAAGTCCTCATTTATAATACTCCAAGCAGCCTTGAAAAAAGAGGCATTGTAACCATCAGGGCCAGGAGCTTTGGTGTCAGACATTGAGAATAATGCATGCTTAATCTCATCTCTGGTAACAGGAGAACAAAGGTCACTACACTGATCTGAAGTTAAGATAGGGCCCTTTAAGATCACTGCAGGATCAGGAGGAGAAGTAGGCCTTGCAGTCCCCAACAAATCCTTAAAGTAATGAACAAATTCTGATATAATGTCAGGAGTATCAGAAATTCTTGCACCATCTTCAGTATGTAAAGATAAAATCCTGTTTTTGTGCCTTTTAGCATTCATAACTGAGTGGAAGAAATGAGTGCTCTTATCAGCATGCAATCTCCAATTTATGTTAGCTTTTTGACTGTAGAAGGAGCTTTCACAATCAATCAACTTAGTGTACTTCTTGACACATTCCTTCTCCTTTAATATCAGGTCAGAATTAAACAAATTTGCACTGAGCCTCAATTGGATATCACATAGCTCAGATTTAGCTCTTAGAACTTGTTGACTGATATGCATAAAATGAGATTGATTAAGTTCCTTGAGAGCAGGCTTAAGCTTCTTTAGTTTAGAGTAAAACCTGAACATGTTATAGCCCCTGATCTCTTGATTCCACACTGAATTTACCAAAGACAAAAAATCAGGATGCTTAGTCCACATGTTAAAGAATTTGAATGTTTTCTTTCCCTCAACATTGTTATCACCCACAGTTATAAGACCTGGAGAGTGATCAGAGCAAAGGGGAATCAAAAATTCAACTTGACTGGCAGTGTACTTATTAATCCAATCCTCATTGACCAGAATTCTGTCAAGTCTACTCCAGACTCTAGAAGAAGACTCCTGTTTGTTACTCCAGGTAAAAAAGAGACCAGTTGTTTTGATATGCAGCAGTTGGCTAGAGGCAATAAAATTCTGAAAATCTTGAGTCTCAGCATCAGTAACTTGAGAACCTCCAGCTTTCTCTTCACCATTAATAATAGCATTGAAATCACCACCCACAACCCAGGGGATATCAACATTACTCTTAAAAGCCAATAATTCTTCCCATAAAGCTTTTCTACCCTCAATATGATTAAGGGCATAAACTGCAGTAAACAAGCAAAATAATTTCCCATCTTTAGACTTAATCTCACAGGTCAAATATTGCTCAGAGATTTTAATGACTTGTGTAGAAATAATCTCATTGTCCCATAAAATCCATATCCTGGCAGTTCTTGTCATATTTGTATTAGCTATCCACTTCCAATCTTTGGCAATCTTATTTCCAATAGTCTGAATTTTACCATCACCAGCCAGTTTAGTTTCTAACAGAGCCAAAAAGGAGATATTATGATCCTGGATAAATTTTTTAACTATCCCATGTTTAGAGGGTTTGTTAAACCCTCTAATATTCCAAATTGCCAAATGCATTTATTGAGTTAATCCTCCATCCCCTCCTCTATCAGTATTGGAGGGATCCAATTCACAGGTCTGATGATCTAAAATTGAGAAGTGTGAGGATTGAATAGGTGTATCAGAGTTATTGATAAAGGCTCTTTTTGCAGCACGAGAACCAGACACACTAGTAAATCCAATTCCCTGTTTGCCAGCAAAGAGAGCAGCAAGCCCCCCAGGCACCTGTTGCATATGACCCTTGTCTTTCACCTTCCCAGCTTCATATGTATGTTGTAAGGAATCAAAAACATTTTCACCAGAAATATGTGCATCTTGTGCATGTTTCTCTAGCTGTGCATGTTTTCTTACTTCCAGGACAGTTCTATCAGCCAGAGAAACCTCAGCAACTTTCCCTTTTTCAGCTTCATATGTGCCATGCTGTAAACCAACAACATCTTGCATATGCTTCCACTGCTGAGCTTGTTTTCTCACTTCTAGGATATCATTAACCGCCAGAGAACTTTCAGCATCAGATTTTTGGTTCTGACTTGAACATGCCTCATTAACTTCCTGTTTATCACCTTGGACAACAGGCTTTTTCATCACCCAAATCTTCTTTGTAGTGTTTCTCCTACACTGATGAGTTTCATGCCCTAACAACAGGCTTTTTCATCACCCAAATCTTCTTTGTAGTGTTTCTCCTACACTGATGAGTTTCATGCCCTACATTTTTGCATAGAGAACACCATCTAGGATGAGTTTCATGCCCTACATTTTTGCATAGAGAACACCATCTAGGCTTAAACTCATATAAGACCTTTTGGAGGTAGCTAATACCATTAGGGCCCTGAATTTGAATCTGATCAGGTAGAGGGTCAGTTAAAGGGAGTTTCACTTCTAACAAGACTCTGGCATAACTCAAGCGCTGCCTAGTGGCAGTAAGCTTATTAGTAGTGATGGGGCACCCAATCAAGCTAGCAACCTTGCTTATACCTGTGGAATTCCAAAGATTCAAACGAAGATTGGGAAACTGGACCCAAATTGGATATGAGTGATCTTGAAGCTTCTCAATATCAGTTTCAATTGTCCACGGCTTAAGAATTAGAGGTCTTGAGCCAAAAAACCATGGACCTGCTTCCAGAATATCTCTCATATTACTGTGAGATTGAAATTCAAATAAGAAAACCCCTTGCTTAAGTAAGAAAACTCTTGGAATAGAAATTCTGCTCCACAGTTTAGAGACATAGGACTCCATAGATTTAAATTTGACATTCATCCCAATTACATGTCCAATCAAAGTAAATTTCCAAAGATTTTCCCCTTCCTTCCATTCTTCATCGTTGAATGTAACAGTATTAGTTTTAGAAGAAGGAACAAAATTTAATGGTAAACCACTTCCCAATTTTCTATTGTCAGAAAAAAGACTAGCAAAAGATTTTTTTTTCCTTCCTTCTCAATGGCATCAAGATTCTTGACCTCATCCTGATCGAGGCCATTTATCTCATCAATTTTAGAAGAACTTTTTCCTACCTCCAAATTCACATTTCTATCTGTAAAAGGGGTGAAAATCTCTTCATTACCATCTCTCAAAGAGGAAATAGCAACTGGATCAGAATCAGTACTTTCCTCAATTTCATCAGCCCAAGATGGAGAGGAACTGAGTTGACGAGATCTAAAACCAATATCCTTTTGAAGAATCAGCGGATCTGAACCAGAACCAGCTCTAGCAAGAATATCATTCATCATCATCTTCTTCTTTGCTCCCTTTGGACCCATACTCTCCATCTCCATTCCTTTAGAGATATGAGAGTTAACTGTTCCATCCAAAATCTCTCCAGCATTGAACGAGGATTCACCAGTAGCTGAGGATTTGTAGGTGAAGATCGAATCCCTTAGCTCTCCACTCAAGATTCCTTTGCTTCCAGCCTTCTTCTTCTTCGTCTTCGCCATTTGAGATCTAAGCGGAGGAGCACGTTAGCAGGGAGAATCGCCTGCTAAAATGCACCATTCAGACCGCTCAAGTATGTATTAGCTTTACACTGGGATTAAACTTCATTTACTCTTTCCTTAACCTTCTGCTAAATAGGGAGTGAAGCATCTTTTGGCCGATGCTAGCCACAACCATGAATAGGGTCCATTGGCCCTGTGACAAAGACACATATTCCTAATTAATGCTAGTCATAACCACAAGTGAGGTCCACTTACACTATGGCAGGGACACATATATCAGCACGAGTGGACACATATCAGCAAGCGGACGCATGTCCTGCACGAGTGTTTCTTCGTCTTCGTGTGTATCCTACCGACGAGATGAATGCATTGTTTACCCTTTGTGGAAACTTAGGAAAATGACATACTGCGCACTTACAAGTTTGTCCGTTGAAAATAAAAGAAAACATCACATGGGCTCATTAAAAAAAATATTGTCATCTCTGGCACCACCGATGGGGGCCAGTGGCAGAGTCATTTCAAGAAATTATTTTGTAGCGATTAGAACTGCTATAGGTTTTTAACATTTAACGTATTTATACATCTATTTTCATACTACTATACTAGTATATAAAAGAAAAAGTGTGGGTATACTAGTATATAAAAGAAAAAGTGTGGGCATGCAAAGAAAAAGGAACGAGGCATTATTTCTTCAATCTAGTAAAAAATAGGAATGTCATTTTAGTAAATGACAGGGGATAATTTGGTCATTTGGCAACATCATTTATTAATGCGGGTTTCACCTCTCTTCTCTTTATCTCCTCTCTAGAAAGTTCAATGACTTCCATTCCTCTCTCATTTTTCTTTAATTGAAAATTTATAAGTGACTCTTTTAAAAATAACACAATTGAATGCATACATAACTCTAATTCTTATATAATTTTCTATGTAGTTTTGAAAATCTATGTACAAAATTCATAATTTCATATATTATAAACCACAATCCGTTGCTAGTTTTAGTTGTTTCTATCCGTAGGAAAATATTATTATGGAGGTCAAAATTCAACATTTTATGAGCTATAATCTACGATTTTTAACTATTTTTAGTCGTTACTAGCCATTAGCCTATATGTTTATTGGACGTTAAAATTCACAATTTCATGAGCTATAGCTCACGATATTTGGCAACTTTTAGTTGTTGCAACAAATAGGCTAATAATTTTTCAACAATCAAAATTTAAGATTTCATGAGTTATAACCAACGATTTGTGACCATTTTAATTTGTTCCGACCCATTGCCAAATAATTTGGCAGATGCAAAAATTCACGATTTTATAAGTTGTAACACACGATTTCTCGCTAGTTTAGTCATTCTTAGTCATTGGCAACTAATTTCACAAAAGGCCAAAATTTAAGATTTTATAAGCTATAACCCACGATTTGTGGGCATCCTTATCTATTCCGCATATTGTACATACTTTCACGGATGCCAAATTTCACAATTTCATAAGCTATGACACACAATTTCTGATAACTTTTATTCTTTTCGACCCATTGGCAAAGCTAACTTTATGGAGGCCAAAATTCATGTCTTTATGAGCTTAACGCATAATTTACAATAATTTTGTGCATTCTAACGCATTCCAAAATAATTTTCATCCAAAATTTATGATATCATAAGCTACATTCCACAATATGTGGCCATTTTTAGTTATTTCTACCAACAGAAAAATATTTTCATGGAGGCCAAAATTCTATATTTCATAAGCTATATTCTATGATTTTTGGCCGTTTTTGGTCAATACAAGCCATTAGCAAATGTTTTCATGGGATGTCAAAATTTACGATTTTAGGAGCTATAACTCATAATATTTGTCAATATACAGTCATTTCGACCCATAGGCTAATAGTTTTTTGAAGGTCAAAATTTAGGATTTCATGAGCTGTAACCGGTAATTTGTCGCCTTTTTTTTCATTCTAACTCATTGTAAAATAATTTGATAGATGCCACAATTTATGATTCCATGTGCTATAATACACGATTTTTGATCGTTTAAGTCGTTTTGAGTCATTTGCAAATGATTCTATGAAAGCTAAAATTCAAGAGATTACAAGTTATAACTCACGAATCAACTGTTGGAAAAATTCTTTATTCATGTTAATGTTAGGGTGCCAAGTGAGTCACTTAACGTCTAATGCATTAAGTAGTGCAACTCTATTATCAGAAAAATCTACTAATTCCATTCTATAACGAAATGTTAGGGATCACTAGCCTCCTATCTTCCAAAAAGGAAAGGCAATCAAATTAAAATTGATAGAAAAAGATGCTTGTCATGAAAATTAAACTCGGCTTTAGTGTCATCAAAATAAATGGTGATCATGGATGGGTTTTACAAGCAAGACAAAAAGCATTGGGAGTGGCGACCCGACCCAGGATAGATTGTGGTGTTAGTGGCTAACGTGTTCTCCTCCCAATTCCATCCCAATATATGCTCTTACTGGGGAGCTACTAGCAATCAAGGACGAAGACGATAAAATTGCAAAAAGAGAGGGTGGTATTTGAATATGATTCTGCCCACGCTATTTGTAAGCTCCTAAGCGAAAGATGCCTTACCATCAGCTGGCTTTGCTTGCAGCGGACATTGGAAGATCTCGTGTTTTGATGTGAACACTTCTCTGCGCTTCAGAATACGGCTAGTGAGGTTGCCCATTTTTCCGGCCGGTTTAGCTCGTAACGAACCAAGTGATATCGTTTGGTGTGATAAATTGCTATTGGTGTTGGCTGATATTGTAATTTGATGATTGGAAATCAGCTAAAATACCAAATTGGTATATTTACACGAACGCTTTTGTCAATTTGGTATTTTTAAAAACCCCGGCGACGACAAGTCATTAAAGCTCGTCCTTTTTGTCAATAAAGCACCATTCTCAAAACTCTGATGAGAAATTTTGCATTTAACCCCTTATCTCCCAAAATTATTAAAGATATCGTGAGGTTGCCCATTTTTCCAGCCGCTTTATCTTGTAAAGAATCAAGTGATATCGTTTGGTATGATAAATTGCTATTGATGTTGGCGGATATTGTATTTGATGATTTGAAATCTAAGTAAAATTTATCCATCATATACCATAAAAAAAACCCTGAAATTATGGAAAAAAACTCCCCTGGATTTTCAAAAATTACAAATAATCTTTGAAATTTTTTAAAAAACCCTAAAAATTTAGAAATTGCAAGCAAGTCTTTGCAAAAACCACTAAAAGGTCCCAAAATGCAAATAACCCCCTAATTTATTGCAAAATGCCCCATGATAATTTTAAAAACTACAAAATAACCCTTCAAAGCTTCATAATATGACCCTTTAAAAATTTTTCCAAAGAGGCCCCTAAAACTTTCAAAAATTGCAAAACAACCATAATTTTTTTTAAAAAAAAGTAAAACTTTCCAAAATTGAAAATAAGTCGCTAAAAATACAAAAAACCACTAAAAGTTTTAGAAATTGAAAATAGTACTGTAAAGTTTAGCAAAAATCCACATAATATTTTAGAAACCACAAGTAAGCCCCTAAAAATTTTACAAAAAATCCCTAAAAGTTATACAAATTGCAAATAATCCTCAAAAGTTTAGGAACTGCACGTGATATCCTAAAATTTTGCAAAAACCCTAGAAGCTATAGAAATTATAAATAGCCCCCTGATTTTTTATAAAACCCCTGAATATTTCATGAGTTGGGAATAACCCCCGAAAGTTTTGTAGAAAACCCTCTGAAAGTTTTAGAAATTGCAAACTACCTTCAAAGATTTGCAAAAAGTGCGTGGAAGTTACATAAATTACAAGTGCCTGCTAAAAAATTTGCAAAAAAACTGGTAAAGTTTTAAAAATTGCACTAAAACTTTTCTAAAAACCCTAAAATAATAAACTGCAAATAGCACTGGAAGTTTTAGAAATTGTAAATAACCTTCTGATGTTTTGCATATAAACCCCTATAAGTTTCAAAAATTACGAATAAACCTATAGATTTCTGCAAAAAGCCCTTATAGGTTTTAGATTTTGCAAATAACACCCAAAAATATTTGCAAAAAACCCCTATAAGTTTCATGTTGTGCAGTTAACCTTAAAATGTATTCGCATGGATGCATGTCATCAGATGTGTAAGCCAAGACCAAGAGCAATTGAAAAGCAATACGATTCCACGATGTAAGCCAAGATCGAAGCACATCAAATCCAAGCTCCAACAAATCCAAGCTCCAACATCGAGTCCCATGACAAACCGCTCATGGTCTATTTGTAGAACTCAATCATACAATTATTGGCAAAACCGTAGATGACTTCGGAACCAGAGAAGCCTGCTCGTTTGGCCAAGGAGTGAAATTCCATCTCGGTTCTCTCTTTACCACCAGGATATTTGACCATCAGGACGAGATCCATGACGATCGCTTCTTGATTTTCCATAGTCGGCTTTGGGTCGACCGGAACCATGTTATTCATTATGATCACCTTGCCGTCCTCCGGCAACGCCTTCCAACTGTTCCTCAGTATCTTGATGCAATCTTCATCACTCCATATGTGTAGAAACCACTGAAATTTTTTGGAATTAATGCACATATATGTTTTTATATGCTACAAATAGATGATAATATATTTGGATATATTTTACGATAAATTTCACAAAACACTCAAATAAGTTTGAAGGTTCTTCACTTAACCCCAAAAAACATTAACATTTTCACTTAACCGGACCTGACAGTAAGTTCTTTCGTCAAAAGAAAAAAAACGTAAAAAAAAAACATAACACCGTTTATTTCTAACGTGTCGCATGTATGTTGTGCTGTCAAACCCCACCTTCTCTCTCTCATGTTTGCTTTCAGATCCGAGCTCCCAGTCCCCATGGGATCAAGTGAAGAATATTACAATATTTTGGGGCTTTTCTGGATTTTCCAACCTTATTGGAGGTTAAGCAAAATTTTTGAACGTTAACTAAGTGAAAAATGCCAAGTCTTTTATTTATCATATTATACTTTTAGCATCTTCACTTGTCTAATAATCATACAAAAATGAAGTCAATGTCATATATAAATATAATAGTAAAATTCAGTTTTTTATTTATTATTATAGATATTGGACCCTTAAATCTTTTAAAAATTTTAAAACTCAAATAATGGAAATTTCTGTTTGGTCCTCCAATTCATATAAGTTTACTCTAAATTACTTTCTCTATTACATTTTTTTTTTCCGAACATCTTAACTATGATTAGGTTAGTGATTACTCCCATACAGTATACTATTGTTATACCTTTATTTTGTTCATTTCCCTCAAAATCACAAATTTTCTCTCTTCCATTTTATTGAGAGTTCGGTAGGGAGGATAAGATGACCATTTAAGGAAAAAATCTGTAGGAATTTTTTGTTCGTTCAAACTATAGTGGTTCTCTTATCCGGCGTATTAGTAATTTCCCCATTACTTGGAAGTGTCATGCTATGGAACTTCTCAATATATCTTTTTCTTCACTACACAACAACAACAACAGCAACAAAAACAAAAAACAAAAAACAAAAAACAAAAAACAAAAAAAATCTTACTTAATTGAAGAAATGACCCTCAGGCTAAATAAATATTTATCCCTCTTTAAATAAATTTTTTCGAAAAGATTTTCACATTAGACAATATGAAAATAAACCACTACCCTTTCATTCTCGATCTTCCCACCCTCCCCCTAAAATATTTTGAAAAAAATTATTACAAAATATGAAAATAGATTTATCTTTTTTTTTTGACCCGAGGTGTACAATTTTCATCATCATGGGGTTACGTGAGAAATTTTTTTGGTGTTTAACGAGGAAAAGAAGCATTTGCAGGTTTCATAGGAAGCACCCAAAGCTATTGAGGGCTTTGTAAAATGTACCACTTTTCAAAATTTGTTTGATATAAAATGATTAAAGGCAACTCACTTTCATTAAGATGCCATCTCCGCTCGGAACACTCTCAAATATATCTCCGGTAACGTGCTCCACTCCTGCATCACCAAAATCACATCTTAATAAAAAAATCTCAAACTCATGCCCAAAATTAAGGGAGAACAAAATTGTGATTAGTACTCAACACAATCAAATCCATTATTCAAAATGAAAACACTCAAACAAATCCAAATTAAGGTGAATTCTATGGGGATTACTGCTTAATTATGTTTATGATACACACTTGCGTGTGTGTGAAGAAAAAAACTATATTAGTCGGCAACTCATTTTTCTATATGATTTTGAAAGAAATAAACAAATGATAGCTAGGATTCATCAAGTAAGCCTTATGGAAAGAGGTGGACCTTATCATTATTATATTTTGACATATCATTTTATGAAATGAGCTTCTACTATCCAATATCTTATACCTGGAATTGGTTCAGCCTCAGAAATGACATGAGGGAGATCAATGTTAATCCCCTTTATATGGGGATGCTTCTGGAGTATCATCTTGAGGGTTCCTCCAACACCTCCACCAACATCCACGAGCACCTTCAGATCATCGAAACCCTTGTAGATCTCGAGGATTTTCTTGGTTATGATGGTTGAGGGGTTCTTCATCCCTTCGTTGTACGCTTTATTGACCCTTGGATCTGTGCCAAGATACTCGAAAGCGCCCATACCGTGGGCCTTGATGAATGGGATGCCTCCGTTCAACACTGCATCCTTCAAATAATACCTATTGTAGATTTTCATATTTAATTGTCAATAGATTAGTCAAACCATAACTTGTTAATTTGGTACATGGGAATAAGTAGGAATGAAATGCTCATTGTCACTTCTCATTCATTAATATCAAACATGACATCTTTTTTGAAGCTAGAACTCTCATTTCCCACCTCTCCTCCATTCCTACTTTTTTTGTGAGAATTGACATTCCCAATAAGTTGGTAGGGAATGAGGAAAAATTAAATTAAATACCAAGTATGTCATGATTGGTTATTAATTGCCCATAATAAAATTAAAAATATTTTTCATTCTCACTTTAATACCTAATCACACCCAAACATGATAATGTAAATGAGCATTTCATTTCCACACTCATTCTATTTTGCTTCACTACTTTCTTACTTGATTCAATTCCCACATTACAAAACGAGGGGAAAAAAAGAAGAAGGGCCATGCATCTAATGAAGTGCTTATTTGCTAATTGGATTTGTGAATGAAATTTAACTCAGCTGCTCGACATCAACATAAATTTAACTCATGCTCAACGTCTTATTTAACGCAATATTGCTAATTAAACAAGAAAGAAATAGACACACATACCAGCTCTCCATGAACACTCTGTCCTGGTGCATAGCCATAGCCGCTATAGAAACCCCATCCTCATTCTTTGCCAGGTACTTCACCACCGGCGCAGCCCCATACTTCCTCTCCACCCCTCCGTCATCCCTCGCCTCCATGGTGCAAGTCAACACGCTGTAACTCGCCAGCAGCCTCATCATCCTGTCGAGCATCGACGCAGCCTCTGGATTTTTGGTCGGCAGCTGAGCAGCGATCTCTCCGGGGGACAAGGAAGCGCCGGGACCCGCCTTGGCGATGATGTCGAAGATTCCGAGATCAATGGCGGATGTTAGGGTCATGGGAAGGACGGAGAAGGAGACTAGTTGGTGAGCATAGATGAAAGCGTCCTCGTCCGTGGTAATTTGGGGAGCTAGGGTTGTCAAGTTCTGGACTGGATCCATTTTTGCTGAAAAGTGCGGAGAGAGAGGGAGAGAGAGAGTGTGTGTGGGAGGAGCGAGGTATCATGAGGGGTTTTTATAGAACACACGCAAGATGGGCGCACAGCCCATCTCGCGTGCCGCAACAGGGGTGTGGGACCTGTTGGATATTTATTGAGAAAATATAATTTTGCCTTTGTGTTTTAGTCCCACATCGGATTTTAGAAAAGAATTCTCTCTCCCTCAACCTTATAAATGCACACCCTTTATTCACATTCCAGAATACAAGAAAAAGAAAATAAAGAAAATAAAGTTTTTTCTCCTCTCCTTTTGTTTTAAAGAAAATTGTTTTTTCTCCTCTATAATTTTTGTTATAAATTTTATGGGCAATCTTCTTCATTTGAGCTAAAGCTCTATACTCTCACCCGATTACGGAGGCTAACCGTTTCCGGGGGCTTTTACCGCTAGGGGGAACCATTTGCGCCAGGGCGATAGACGGGTTCTCAATCTTCTAGGTCAGTGATTACACGACTGCTTCCCGCCAGGCCTGATTTTTCTAACTTATATTATTTATCTTTAGATTTAATTTCTTATTTAATTCGGATTTAATTTATAAGCTATAACATTTGTTTTGATAAATTTCCAACAATCTAGAAGATTGAGAATATTTTTAGTATTAAATCTGAAATTTTTTATTTTATAATAATAATAATAATAAATTGGAAAAAAAAATTGGTTACTATTCATCCAAAATTTGTAATTAAGTATTTCTGTTAATTTAATTAATTGCTTTAATTACTGTTAATTATTACATTTATTACATTTTTTAATTGTTGTTTATTTGTAATCAATTACTGCTAATTAATTTTAAGAGTTAATTACAATTAATTGTAACATGTAATTGATTAATTGCTATAAATTATTCATGGACTTTGGAATTTTGCATCCTAATTCTCTGTCTCTTAGTCTGAGTAACTTTGACACGCTGTGATTTTATCGTACATGCTATGGACGATAATTTTGCATGAAAATCTTTGTTTCATTGCCTCATGCTTTTATACACGTTACGTACAGCTTTTATAATATGAGATAGTAAGTTCTCTCTGGCATGTATAGGTTGTTTTTGGTAAATGAAGCATATATTTTTTTGTTGCTATCTAAATAAATAGAAAGAATTAAAACGTAATCTGAGAGCAGCAATGTACATGAGTACGCTCTCAAAAATCTGTTGTCCAAAGTAGAGTAGTCAAAGTTCATCTTGTCAAAACAAAAGTATACAGAACAAAATCTAAATGCCATCTCATAGTTTCAAATAAATAAATAATATAAACAATCAACAGTCGTATTGAAATAGTTAATTATTGAACAATCAGAAAGCGTCTATAAGACTATAACTATGACAACCACAAAGTCTTTTACGTTTTTGATCACATTCATATGGCTGTTTAGTTTTCAAATTCTGTTTTTATTGTTTCTGCCATCATCTATAGAGAAAAAAATAGATGCTTTGAAATATCTAAATTTATTCATGGTTTAATACTTTCATTTCTTTAAGCTATCAGCATAGCGTCTTCTATTATTGATAATTCCATACATTGGATTGTTTATGCATCTAACAAGCTTAGACAGAATGGGGCAAAAGTGAATGCAGATTTGTTCAACAACTTATGTGGCAGTTGTCTATAGTTGGTATACCTATTAATATTTTTTTTCTTTTGTGGACCTATAGAGCATTATTTATATTCTGCTATAAATTTCAAGCTTCAGATTTGCCAAAGTCAGACTCATACATGATTGTACATGTCTGATAAAATGCATACATTTAAATATTAGTTTTATATGGAGGATTTTATTTTAAATCTTCAAATGTAAATATTATCTCTTTTATTGCATTATGATGGATATTCATATGTCATATTATATCACTTGCATTTGTTACATAATTAATTACAAGTTTTATGCTAGAATGCACTTGTAAAATTTTAAAGCACATGTGTAATATATATATATATATATTAAAATATCAAAATGATATGTTTAAGAGGTGATACTAGAAAATGGCCATGTAAATTTGAATGGTCTCCTTTGTAGACAACCAATTTAAATTTGGAAGATCTCTTTTGTAGGTAACCAATTTAAATTTGGATGGTCCCTTTGAAGGCAACCAAATTTACAACCTCTTATAATAGGAAAATTTAAAAATTATGTATATGAAGTATGATGTATATTTTAAGATACGAAATCCTATTATAATGTTCTCTTTAATGCTTTGCATGTATCTATTAGTAATGTCATTCTTATATGTGCATATGCATGCATGTGATCTTTAATGCTTTGCATGTATCTATTAGTAATGTCATTCTTATATGTGCATATGCATGCATGTGAAGATATAACTAAAGTTCTATTAGTAATGTCATTCTTATATGTGCATATGCATGCATGTGAAGATATAACTAAAGTATTTTAGTTCCACTTTATGGGCCAATTTCTAATCTACACAAACCCTATGCAGTTACATCTTCAGACATAGAATACGATCTTTTATGTTCATAGACCATGACCTTTTATGCTTACATGTTGCATTCAAAAATGATGTTTATTTTTCTTATTGCTAAATTGATTCCTCTATCTATTGAACACTAAAGGTCCTATTAGAAATGTTGGGATTTAGTTCTTTAAATGTACAATATATTGTGTTCCCAAAGAACCCGGAAGTAATGGCAAACTCTTTGTGCTTTTGTTTTCTATTCCTACCTTGATAATATTTGATCATTACAATTTCTACTTGACATGAGCACATATCAAATTTGTTTAGACATTTAAAATGGAAATGTCTAATTATTATAATCCTTTGTTTATTGATAAGAGACATCAATAACTATGCTAACATGTTTTGATAGTGACTAAAAGAATCATTTTATAGCTCTTCATTTGACTACATGTATAATGCTTTCTCTTGAGATTTCAGGAAATGATTAGAGTTGATATAAATATGCTCTGTCAACTAATATGCCTAGTTACAGGAGATGTGATGAATCAATGCCCTGGAAAATCAAATCAAGAGGTATATCTTATATCTTCTATCTATATGATGAATAAAAGTTTAAAATCACTAAAGTTATATTGAAATTAGTTCATCAAATAATTAAAATTGCTATTAGGTCCTTTTATCCTTATAAGTTGGTTCAAATCAATCCCTCCTCTTGCTACTTGTACTCTTTCCTGAAAAGATTGATTTGAAAAATAACTTAAACAAGAAGGGGACCTAATGTCAAATAAAGGACTAATTATAAAATAACTTGATAAATATATACAACGCCTACTAGGCAAAGTTGTGATTATAGACTTTGTAAAGTCTAAAAAGAATCCTGCTGACCCTTTGACTAAGAAATTATCCAGGAGTGTGGTTCTGGATTCATCGAGGGAGATGGGGTTAAGCCCATAAGAGAGGTCACTGACAGTGGTAACCTAACCCTTATTTGGAGAGTTAGTCCCAATGTTGGTTCAATATGGTAGAAACAAGCTGGACTAGTGACACTCGTGTGGAGCATCGACCCAGATATATTCATATATCACTATGTAGCTTGTGCTACTACCCCTTTTCTATGATAACGATGCTCTTATGATACAGCTAGCTAGGCTGAGTTTTACTCTTAATAAGTCCAACGTGTGTATTACGGGGGGTATTATTATGGGGCGTATTAAATAAACAACTGTAGTACCCTTTGAGGACTTACCAAAGTGAGAGGAACCGTGATGATCGCGGTTGGGGGGGGGGGGGGGGGGGGTGGGCTAACCCCTAGAAACTCTCATGAGTCGGTTTATTATGAGCATGACCTTTAACGCTCAACCCGCTTTGCTTAATAAATAAAGACGTATTGTGTGTGTTTTTGTCAATACCTGATTCAAGGGGCCTAATTCAAGGCCTAGTCCATTATGTCCCTTAGGTGGTGATGAACTCACTAAGGAAAGGTTCAAAGCCGGAAGCTACCTCTCCCGAATTCACGATACGAAAGGTTGCCCAACCTATATTTATTTTATAATTTCTTGATTTATTTATTGGTTTTGAGTTTTCAGTCAATATTGCCTTTTTGGGGGGGGACTGTTGGATATTTATTGAGAAAAGGCAATTTTGCCTTTGTGTTTTAGTCCCACATCGGAATTTGGAAAAGAATTCTCTCTCCCTCAACCCTATAAATGCACACCCCTTATTCACATTCCAGAATACAAGAAAAAGAAAATAAAGAAAATAAAGTTTTTTCTCCTCTCCTCTGGTTTTAAAGAAAATTGTTTTTTCCCCTCTATAATTTTTGTTATTAATTTTATGGGCAATCTTCTTCATCTGAGCTAAAGGTCTGTACTCTCGCCTGAGTACGGAGGTCGGCCGTTTCCGGGGGTTTTTACCGCTAGGGGGAGGGAACCATTTGCGCCAGGGCGATAGGCAGGTTCTCAATCTTCTAGGGCAGTGATTACATGACTGCTTCCCGTCAGGCCTGATTTTTCTAACTTATATTATTTATCTCTAGATTTAATTTCTTATTTAATTCGGATTTAATTTATAAGCTATAACATTTGTTTTGATAAATTTCCAACAGGACCCACAGCCCAGCTACCCCTGTTGCAGCACGCGAGATGTCCAGCTACCCCTGTTGCGGCACATCTCAGCCCAGCTACCCCTGTTGCAGCACACGAGATGTCCAGCTACCCCTGTTGCGGCACATCTCAGCCCAACTACCCCTGTTGCGGCACGCGAGATGTGTTGCGCGCTCATCTTGAGCTGTGGGTCCTACACCCCTGTTGCGGCACGCGAGATGGGTTGCGCGTCCATCTTACGTACCAAAAAGCATTTTTGGTTTTTATAAGAGGTTCCGGGGAAAAAATTTCCTTCTACCCCTCACTATCACAAGAGTTGCAACTTATGATATTTTTTATAGCTAATAACGAGAAGTTGTGTCTTATGATATTTCGTATTTGTATAGTTATTGATTAATCCTTTGTAATTAACATAACTTTCTATATATATGTGTCATAAAATAATTGTGGGCATGTGCAGCTTTTGTTATAGTGACCCCTGTAGATTTTCATGTAAACTTTAATTTTCCATTTAAATTATGCAAATCAAAATCTCAATAATTACATCCATACTTAACTAAGATCTTAGAATTATATAATTATCACATGCATAATAATTAAGGAAGAAGACATACATTGATCCATATTAGTGGTAAACGATTGGGCACAAGAGCCCTTTTGAACAAACAGAGATTTCATTTATGCTTTGCCCCAAGACTATTACTCAATGATAAAAAATACCCTAAATTTTGAAATTCAATAGATCTACACCCTAGGAATTTCAAAGTCCATGTTGAACCGTAACTTTGAAAACAGACGTTCAAGATTACTGTTGATCAACTTGTTATAAGTTTTGAATCAAAGTGTTATAATCAACTTGTTATAAGATGTGATCTACAAGTCTTATCTTTGTTTGCCATCTCGTACCAATTTATCATCTCCTATTATGAATTAAGTTCTTCCAAATTGAACTTTATGCACCCTTGTTTCTATTTGGATTAATGATAAGTGTAGTATTTTTTTCATACTAGTTTGGCACTATCACAAATAAATTAGTGAGGTCCTTGTTTAAAAATTGTAAAAAAAAAGTGCTAACTTATTATGACTCTACTCTTTTATTTGTGATAGTGACAAAGTAGTATGAGAAGTGTAGTATATTTATCGGTACTTTTTGTATTATGCCCATAGTGTTGAAAACGGCGAACAAAACAGACGTGCACAGGAGGAGGCTCATCGGTTGACTGATCGGGTCTGATCGGTCGACTGATTCGATCGTCAGTAAATTACAGGAGTTTCGGATCGGTCGACTGATGGACCCTGATCAGTCGATCGATAAACATGCACAAGCAGGAATAATTGAAGCCGATCGGTCGACCGATGCACCCCTATCGGTCGACCGTTAGCGGGTAATTAGGCTTTTTGGATTTCCTAGCCTGTTTTGGATTGGTGTTTGATATAAATACAAACACGTTTTGTTAGGGTTTTTTATCAGAGAATTTGGATTTGTTTGAGCACTTTGAGAAGGGAGATTATTGTGAGGGAGTGAGAGATCATTGGTTAGGGTTATTTTGAGTGTTTGAGAGAGTTGTAACTCGTTGTTTTCTCCTCCATATAGTGAAATCTCCCCATCCTCTCCCCGTGGACGTAGGCAATTTGCCAAACCACGTAAATCTCTGTGTTTGTGTATGATTTTGGCCGTTTCTTTGTGAATTACACTCGTTGGTTTTTCTCCTCTCATTGCTCGACGACTCGTTTGGTTTGTGCGCATGCTTCCGCCGACGCGCAACACATAGTATTGGTAAGGCACACATGAGATACTACCTCATCAATATCTGTCCCTATTGTGCTAATCATCTCCTACTTCTTGTCGCTTGCTTACCTCCTACTTCATTTTTATTAACATATGAACAAAACAATGAAGGGATTACAGATTTCCTAAAGAAGGGTAGAGGTATGTCTTGAACTTCAAGAATATTGGATTCATTATGAAATCCACAAGCCATGTGACCGAAGATTTGTGCAACCTAAAATAAAAGATAAACAATAGTTTAGTCGTGCTTCAACTTATATACCCTCACTTCTCTTATGGTTGAGAATAATTTCAGAGGAGAGTGGGTTTAAAATAAATGGGTATACAACTTTCAATAAAACTACTCACTACATTAGTACATAATAGACCTATGGCTTATGTGCAAAATACTCCTTTAGTCACGTGCACAGTGTATCGAACACAGTAAGCGTGTTTGGGCACTCATTCATTTGAATTTTTGCAGCTGCTTTATATATTGAAACCTTTGCAAAGGAAGTCACATTAGAGCTTATTAGAGGCCGAGTATGTTAGCTGAAACATCTTCATTACTATAAAACATGATTTGAAGTTAGTATGGGTCATTCGGGTTAGTTGGATCCGGTGGAGTAACTTGTTTAATAAGTGACTTGGTTATCCTTATCTCATACGGTCAAGTCAATTTCGATCGAGTTAGCTCAATCTATTGTCCTCATATATAAAGGCTAGAGCTAATCCAAATTTTGTATAAGTATCTTTTAGCTCAATCTATTGTTCACAAATCAATGTGCAAATCCTGGAGCTAATTCAAATT